AAAGCTGAGTATAAAGATGGCAACATAGTCCGCTGAATGACAACTTCTGGTCTCATCATCCAGCAAGTCATCGCTTCAAATCTTCTCGCACTCCAACAACTTACAACCGACCACCTCCCTCTTCCCATCAAGCTTGTGCTCTTGTCAAATCACCCACTTGTCAAAATGCAGTTCCTCACTCTCCTCACCACCGCCGTCATTGCCGCCAGCTCGGCTGTTGCCCGCCCTGGCGACTACACTGGCCCTGGCGACTACACTGGCCCTGGCGACTACACTGGCCCTGGCGACTACACTGGCCCTGGCGACTACACTCCTCCTGCCGCAGGCTGCAAGCCGGGTACCTACTCCTGCGCTGATGGCAAGTATGGCAAGTATGGCCAGCAAGGCTGGCAGGTCTGCGACACGTCTGCTCTCTGGGTGGTATGTTTGACCCCTGCCTATCCATGACCGCCATGATGTTGACGATGTGCACAGTACGGCGGTGACTGCCCTCCTCACACTGCATGCTACTTCAACGAGCGGAACCAGAGCCCCTACTGCATTTAGAAGGGTGATGGCCGGAAGTATACGGGGCAGCGAGGGAGTTGATTAATAAGTGGCAAGGTGGTTTTTACTTTCTTCTCTTTTCATCGCGGGAGTCAATCGGGCGTCCGTCCATTCCTTCACGAAGGTTATTTGTCTACTTTTCTTTTTAATGAATCACCGGCACATTCTGCTCATGTTTGGAATGCAATAAATGATACCGTGCAACTCAGTTGCGATGACTCCGTCTCGGACTTCATGTACGGGAGGGCCTTGAAGCTTGTCTTTGACTTCATGATGAAGCTCTTGTGAAAGGTGTAACATGGAGAATCAACGAAGGACGGCTGAATGCCCAAATAGTCTTGATATAGTTCAATTTCAGGGCGTCCTCAAGTCGTCGGTCGTTGATCATGTGCGCTTGAGGCGTGAAATTTGGTGAGTTCGGACGGCATCGAAGTCACACGACGTCGCCATGTTTTCTCGGCATCGTCATTTACCTCCTTAAAACGCCAATACGAGAATCTCAAGTAAAGACTCGGTTGCTTACTGGACATGGAACTTTGGGAACGCCTCCCACCAGCTTGAACTCATCAACATATTCAGGGGTATACGTCCAACAATACAAGCAACGGAACCAAATGCTTCGAAACAATACACCATGCCATAGCCTCGCATTTATCCAAATACCAGGCTGAACCCCATCTCTTCGGCGATTCTTCTCCATCCGCCCCCCCCAGGATCGGCCCTTCCACCTGCCTTCGCAAGATCCCTCCTTCGCCAGACCTCCACAACAACCTCCCAGGCCTTGGCAGCATTGACCACACCCCTCGCCGCCTCGACTGCCGCGAAAGCCTGCCTAGCGAGGCCACGATCCCGGCCATCTCCGGCTTCACATGCTGCCTCAAACAAAGCCCAAAGCATCCCGGCGCCCGTACCGCGCCCCGGCGGCAGATGCGGTCCCGTCGCCGAGACACAGTGCCAAAGCGCCGCCCTCGCATGCCGCTGCACCGCCTCGGCGTCGCGCTCGCGGTTCAACACTATGAGAGCGCTCTGTTTGCACGCGAGCGCCTTGCTTGTCATGACGCGGATGCGCGCCACTTCATCCTCGGGGGCGTCCTCTGGTCCGTCGACGACACGGTTGACGAGAGTGTAGCCAGGTGGAAGGGCGGGCTCCCAGGCGATGAGAACCTGTTCTAGCTCGTGAAGAGCTGCCTTTCGCTCGTCGCTAGCGTCCTTGCCTTCGGTGGACGCATGTGAGTCCCTGGAAAGGCTCTGATCACTCTGTCGACATGGTAGAGAGGCAAGGCGGTGGAGGATGGGCCAGAGGTCGGCTGTGAAGCCGGAGATGGCGCTGATGGAGGAGTCCAGAGCCGAGATCGAAGTATGGGAATGAATCGATGGCGGGGATGAAGCGCACGGCGCCGTGCCAGACGAGAGCGCGTGGATGACATCAAAGTATCTGAAGGCCTGGCCATCTGTCAGCGGAGGTTCCAGCGAGGGCGCAATGCAGCGAACCCTACCTCACGGAAGAAGTCAAGCCTTGGGTTTTCTGAGGCGTGGACTTTCTCTAGAACCCTCCAAGCTTGTTGCATGTGCCGACCGATCGAATTCGTCGGGCCTCTCTGAAGAAGCTATTCATCCTGCGAGTCAGCGACGTCAAAGCTCGATGCATCCATCACAAAACATACCATCTCGTAGTACACCAGCAACAGCATCGCTCCGAGCGTCTGCTCCGTCGCCCAGTCCTCTTCGACTTCGGCCAACGCGGGCAATCCGATCAACGCCTGCTCGTGGAACAACCCATGGTCAACATCGCCTCTCGACCCCGTCCGTACCAGGTCAGCACCAGCCAGCGCACACGCCGCATCTCTCACCACCGCGCTCCCAAAGCACAACGACCCAACATGGTCTACGACGGCACTCCCGCCACCCTGTGACAGACTTGCAGCAACCGAGCGGCAGAAATGCTCCACCAGCGCATTGCGGTCCAGCGTCTGTGCTATCGGGTCCGCCACGGCCGAAAACGACCCCCTAGGTCTTGGTGATTCCGGAGCCAGCG